TATACCATTAAAAGGGGAAACAAAGAAGAAGAAGAAAATATATATATATATATATACTTCTATTGGAATTCTGTCCTGCCAGGTGTCCGGCGTGTGTGACCCTAATATTATTTTGAAATGACGACCATATACGTGGTTCCAGACTCTCCTCCGAAGCCCTCTGGTTATAAATTCTCCAAATCTTCCCCATTCCACTACTCTCCCCAGCATTCTAGTCCGAATGGAATCCTTGCAGATATTTCCCATTTCGAGGATATAGGTTTGGATGAAGATTACGTTGAGGATCACCGCCACTTCGCCCAAGACAAGTTTCCCATTCAGCCAAGTCAACGCGTGTCCCCTAGAGTTGAGCCTTGTACAGCGTTCGTGGCCACAACAACTAGAAACTTGACTTCCTCAGCTGGTAGGAGAGAGTATCCTCAACTCTGCCGTCAGGTTCAAGGGGCTTCGGAGGTGATGCCATCGCTCAGTCCTCCACGGCCCAGGAGCGCGTCGAGCCGAGTTCTATCTAATCCTCCCACACCTTTACTTCAGCTGCGTCCTTCAAGCCTCCAACTTTCGAAATCTCCCTCCCCGGGAGTGCAACCAACACCTTTATCTCCACCCAATCCATCCCATGGCACACCAATGCCGCCAAGGCCCCGGCTTACCACTTCTCGATTCATCACGAATTCTGCATCGCAACACCAACACCGAAAAACTGTCCAGGAGTTGGAAGATGAATACCATGATTCGGATGAAGACCTCCCTGAAGATGCAACTTTGTGGAACGTTCCCATTTCCCCACGTCCTCCCCATAATCGCCCTGGTGGTAGGGAGTTTAGTCCCGACCGGAGAAGCCCCGGCCCGCGACCGATTCCACTTTGCCATTCAACACCAGCGCTTGTATTGCTTTCGTCTCCAAAGGCTTCTCCTTCAAAGTCTGCTGGACCGGTGAGGTTTAAAGTTCCAAGTGCCAGTTCTCTCGGGCCCCCTCGGACGCAGCCATCCCCTCCGTTCCTGCGTGTCAACTCTTGGAACCTGGTTATGTCTGAGCTCTCTGAGGAGGCGAAAATATTAACAGAAGCGCTCGAGTTCCATGCTGATGCTTCAATCCAGGGACGTGGAGAAAACATTCAGAGCGTGAAATCGTCCATCAGATCTATTTTGGAGCTGGGACATTGCGAATCCAATGGTATGATACAGTTGCCGCCTCTGCAAAAGTCGAATATCATGATCGACCCATTCCCTATCAGCAAAGAAAAGGAGAGATTCTTATCGCGAACTCGACCAAGCTGGCTTCCGCCAAAAGACCCAAGGGAAGAGAAAAAGCATTTGTTGGAGTACAAGCGCATGATGGCGCTGTCTCGTGAAGCTGGTAAGTCCACTGCGCTGGTCGTTCCATCTGTGATCTGGTATCCGTGACTCAGCATGCGATATTTTAGACAAACGCAAAGCTGCCGAGGCGGCCTCCGCCCTGTGTAAGAGTGACAATTACTCATAAATACTCTAACGCATCAGGGACGATTTTGATTTCCCCGATTGGGACCGTGTTGTGTCCGAGCATCGTACAAGGGAACTGTGGTGGCGTGGAATAACTACACGTTCTCGAGGTGCCGTCTGGCAACGGGCCCTGGGAAACGAACTTGCTTTGACAGAGATACAAAACTAAAAGCTCTAGAACGTGCTGATCATTTCCAAACCAGAACGGGTGACAATGCAAGTGAAGCCAACAAAATGATGAAGGAATGTTTTGCTGCCATCCGAAGGGATGTATCAAGCGTATTTCCAAATCTACGATTATTTAGACATGATGGACCACTACGGGAAAGCCTAATCAATGTGCTGGATGCGTTTTCGATGTACAGAAACGACGTTGGCTACCTATACGGTGTCCATGTAAGTTTAAGAATGCCCGCCCTAATCTTGTGTTGATGAGAAACGTGCTATAATTAACAGCAACCTGTGCGGACAATTGCTGCTCTCTTTCTCCTCAACCTCCCTACACCTGCTGCAGCATTCCATGCACTTGCAAATGCCCTGAACAAACAGTTACCCTTAGCGTTTTTGACCGCTGATCCCGGCGTTACCTCCAGAGCTTACTCCTTCGCCTCTACATTATTGCGCTTGAAATATCCGCGCGTCTCGAACCATTTATACAAGAACTTGTCCCTCTCTGACGAACAAATATGGGGACCAATGTTCCAATTTCTTTTGACAAATGTTCTTGACCTCGAGCGTGTTAGCCGTGTATGGGATTGCTGGGTCTTTGAAGGTTATAGAATTATAATTTGTGCTGCTGTTACAATTCTTGGGTGCTTGGAGATGACACTTTTGAGTATCTTGCCAGGTGATGGTGGACAAAAAACAACGACCAGAATTTTAGGATGGGGTTCAAAGAGTATTGATAGTGAATGGACCAGCATAGCGGTTGACTCTTCTGATATCGACAATATCAATGGCGATGTGAGCGGCACCGGGAATGAGCTTACTGGCTATAGGATGTTGAATCATGTTGGTGATGAGAATGTATTTATGAAATTGATTAGAATTGTGCAGCGGGTCTAATTTATCTAAAATCTGTCATTCAAAGCATATATATCTTTGCCATCTCTTAATTTTTATTCAACTATTTTCTATAAAATTATAGTTTTATATTTATATTATGTTAGATTAGAACGTTGTGGTTATTATCTAGCTAAATGTCAAACTACGTGCTGATATGATCAAAGATCACTTTGTTGGTGGATACTACGGCTACCCTATCATGTGCCCTCACCATATATATATTGCTCTCACTTAGCTAGCAATTAACACATAACAACATTATCCTTCCACAGGTTATGACTTTTAGATAACCATGAAAAACTGCTGAAACAATATGTTAAAAATGTCTCCACACATCATTTAACATGTGTCTAAATGTCTTGTTAACAGAGATTGATTAAATCAAATGATCAATCTAAAATTTGATGAATTATATATATGATTTGATGAAAGAATACATATCATTATGTAGAAAAAATTCAAAAATGTCAAAAGTTCAATAATTAAATGTAAACTACATTTGCAACTGAATAAAAAATAACTACTTCAGAGGCATTTGAATCTAATAAGATAATCAAAGAACAATTAATTGACTCATTTATTAACTATGAAACTCTGTTTAATAACAATAACATAATATCAAACAATACAAATAATCACAGAAACTGTGATAATGTAAGCGAAGAAACTAACATAAGATTGAAAATTACTAGACTTCAATATAAAGTTAAATAAATAAAAGCTAGCAAAGTCAATGATATTTCTATTAACAATGAGAATTTCAGTTCAGATCTAGTTGAATATTTATAATAAATAAATAGAATATTAGTTATAGTCAAATTTTTAATGAGTTTAGAGATCAAGTAAGATTAATTAAAAAGTCTGTTATGTTGATCAACTCTGTTAACTACTCAATGTTAAAGAAAGAGATTTTTTTCATAATGAGATAATCTCAAACTCAAAATATTTTAAAGAAGAAGTAAATTGATTCAAGAAATAATACTAATAATAATATATAATACTTTTAAAATAAATATAATATATAATTATATAATTATATTTAATTTTCAAATACTTCTTAGATAAAATCTTACTTTATAATATTTAAAAATTTATAATTAAACTATATAAAAAGATGATAAGTATAACAGTCAAATTAAAAGAATTTGATTATATATTTATTGAATTACTAATTGTCATAAGAATAAACTATATTTATTTAAAATATAGAGTTAAAAACTTTGTATTTTCTGACTATTTACTCACTAATGTGAGCAAAGAATCAGCTTTATTCATAAAGAATAATTTTTTTAAAATTATATTATAATATTTTTTAAGACTTTAAATAGTAAATAAAAATACAGCTGATATAATAAAAGATCTAATCAATAATATATAAAAATATAAAAAGAAAAATAATAAAAAATAAAGAAAAGAATAAGAAGAGTAACTTCTAATTAAAGAAGAAAAGTAATAAAATATAAATTTATTTATACTGTCAGAAAGCTGATTATATTCAAATTTATTACTAAAAGAATTATTTTAAAAAATATATATACTTTAATACTTTATATTAAAATTTTTAAATCTTTATAAAAATCTTCGAGTTTTTCACTAAAATCTTTAGAAACTCTGTATTTAATTTCAGATTTTATATTAGAGATTTTTATATTTTTATATATAGATCTTTGAGTTTTTTATTAAAATTTACTTTATATTTATTTTTAAATCTTATATTATATTAAATCTTTATATAAACCTTTATATAAATCTTTAAATTATTTATCAAAATTTTTAAAGACTTTATATTCATCTTTAGATATTATATTAAAAGTTCTTAGATCTTTTTATAAATTTTTAAATCTTTTTTTGAAATTTAATACTATTAAAAAACAATTTACTTATAAATATAGCTTTTCTCAATAAACTGTTTTGACTATATTTAATTATATATATTTTTTTTCTTTAAACAAAAATAAATTCAGTATATATATATTTAATATAAAAAATTTAATTTATCATAAAAATAAAATCAGATTTTAATTAATATCTATTTATAATTTCTTTAAAATAGAGCTAAAAACTCTTTAAAATTATTTAAAAAATATTAAAAAAATAAATATTTTATTTTTATAGTTCTATAAATGCTTTTTTTTTTAAAGAAAAATAAAAATTTATAATTATATATAGATTATATAGATTTGAATTATCTTATAATCAAAAATAAATATTCATTATCACTTGTGAATAAGATACTAGATAAACTCTTTAAAGTATAAATTCTTTTTAAAATTAATTTTAAAGATATATATTATAGAATATATATTCAATATAATAATAATTAAAAAATAACGTTATAAATAATACAGTTACTTTAAATATAATATTATATCTTTTAAGCTTATAAACATCTTTATTATTTTTTATATTTATATAAACTATATTTTAGTAGATTTTTTTGATATATACTATATAATTTATCTAACTAATATTCTTTTCTATTCAAACTCAATGAATAGGTATAAGATATATATATAAAAAATATTTAAAAGTTTAAAATATATAAATCTGTTTATAAAATATAATAAATATAAGTTTATTAAAAATAAAATCTTTTTTTTGAATTTTATCATCAGATTTTATAGTATTAAAATGAAATAATATCAAGTAATAATTATTATAAAATAATTAATC